GGTTTGATGGAAATTCAAAGTTTACACAATAGAAACACACTCTTTCTCCCAGTTACATAAGCTGATGATGTATTATGTTATGGACTCAGAGACAGCAGATGGTATATATTTTTAGATTTACATTTGGTTGCTCTCACATAGAGAAATCAAACTTCTGTGTTAACAAGTCAATATCTGCCTTTGATTGTTCGGACAATGACAATTGGTTTAGGGGTAATTTTCTTAAAGTGAGGTGGAGGATTTTTTCCCCCTTTTTTTTTTATTAATGAAGGTGTACTGGGTTTCACATGCTGCTTTAGCAATGGATTTCAGAGCCATTGTAAATATTCATCTTGAAGCCAACTTGAAAAACATACATAACTGCATGAGTGTGTGCCGCAGGGCTGGAGTGGAGCCAGTGTGGCGTATGCTGTTGGGGCAGCTGTTAGCGGTGACGGGTATACGATCCTGCAGCCTGATGCGTGCGAGGTGAAGACATAACACTTTCTCTCCTCTCACCCTTCTTTCTCTGCAGCTTGCCTTTGTCAGTACACTCAGAATCACTTCTTGTGTTTTCCACTGTAGACTACTCTCAACATTTTCAGTAGATATTGTGAACTCAGTCTTGTACAGCACCTGGAAATACACAATATCCTGTGATATATGCAGTAATACTTGAAGAGGCAGACAGACAAAGAGACAGACAGAGATACAGACACACATAGACAGTCAGACAGAAAGATAGACATAGACAGTCAGATAGAAAGATAGACATAGACATGGACGTCTATATATATATATATATATATATATATATATATATATATATATATATATATATATATATATATATATATATATATATACAGACAGACAGACAGACAGACAGACAGACAGACAGACAGACAGACAGACAGACAGACAGACAGACAGACAGACAGACAGACAGACAGACAGACAGACAGACAGACAGACAGGACATAGATAGACAGACATAGACAGACAGACAGACAGACAGACAGACAGACAGACAGACAGACAGACAGACAGAACAGACAGACAGACAGACACAGACAGACAGACAGACAGACAGACAGACAGACAGACAGACAGAGACAAACAGACAGACAAACAGACAGACAGACATAGACAGACAGACAGACAGACAGACAGACAGACAGACAGACAGACAGACAGACAGACAGACAGACAGACAAAACAGACAGACAGACAGACAGACAGACAGACAGACAGACATAGACTCAAACAGACACACAGAGTATAAACAGCCACACTTTGAAGACATGCCTACAGACACCATTTCAGAACTTCAACAGACACTGCTATAGGCGCGCGCGCACCACACACACACACACACACACACACACACACACACACACACACACACACACACACACACACACACACACACACACACACACACACACACACACACACACACACACACACACACACACACACACACATACACACATACACACATACACACACATACACATACACATACACATACACATACACATACACATACATACACATACATACACATACATACACATACACATACACAGATACATACAGACTCACAGACACCCATAAACCTGTACCCATACCCTTGTGATCCTCACACACAATACACATACACAAACACATTAAAGAAAGAATAGCGGCAGATTGGTAGATGAATTGGCACCCACACAACCACACCCTGAGCACATCCAGTATTTCTAACCACATTCACACCAACTCTATTTACACACCAATATCTATACTCATGTAAATTTCTGCACAGAGTTGAATATAGAACCAGGCAGAGAACGCATTTATCTTTTTTTTTTTTGTGCAGAGAATTTATTTTGATTTAATCCTGACAAAGTTTGGTTTCGTAAAGCTATATAGTTATTTTATTTTTTATTTATTTATTATTATTTTTTTAAAGAAAGCATCAAGTTTTCAGTATCAGAAAATGATTTTAGTATATCCTCTTGATTGTAATATTTTATTTGATATGGAAAATTACTTCATTTTGATTTTTACAGTATATTCTGATGAAGGGATCACTTTTTATTAATTCATTTTTTTAATGAGAATTACCCACTAATTAATTTTGAAGCTGAATTATGCTTAGAGTTGGTTCCACAAGAAATACACTTTGTTAGTAATTCAAGCACAAATATTATTTCTCATATTACTCTTCCTTTCTATGAACACTACATCTATTGATTTTCTTTGTTTGCGTAGGCTATGTTATTTCCTATGGCATAGGTAAGGGATTCAGGATAGTACTAAATTCATATATCAGTCTTTTCAATATTAAAATGATTTCCTCAAAAATATTACAGACATTATTATGAATTTTCCTACTGTAATTATTTGATACTCATTTATGTTTGCTATTTTGTGAACATAAACACCGATTTGGCTCTGTTTTTGAACCCTTTATCTTGTCATTGACTAGCACTGTGAACCACCTTAGCCAGTGTGTACTGCAAAGTTTTGTGGGATGGACATGCTGCATTACGTCTCTGTGTTCATTACACATTTTCTGTTGAACTTTTATACTCTTTAAGTGCTTTTCTGTTGTGTGGTGGCTTGTAATCGTGCAGAGAGCTTTTTTTTGTATTTCATAGATAGCTTTATGGCTTCAGATGTAGCATTTCATCATTTTTATTTTTTTAGGTGTTACTTGAAACAGTGGTCTAAAACAAATGGTGTAGGGGCAGCTTTTGTTCTTCCTTGGCTTATGAAAGGGAAAGGAAGATGGTGTGTCGTGTTTCCAGTTGATTGAGATAATGTAGGAGTGAACAGTAGACATTTCTCTATGCCTAGTTATTCTGTAGTCACTGAAATTTGCACTTACCAGGAAAATGTTAAGCTCCATGTTATAAAACTACCTTTGAAAAACTGAATTACCTTGTAGTACCACTTGCGTATTTGGTAGAATGCATGTGTGTGTGTGTGTGTGTGTGTGTTGTGTGTGTGTGTGGTGTGTGTGTGTGTGTGTGTGTGTGTGTGTGTGTGTGTGTGTGTGTGTGTGTGTGTGTGTGTGTGTGTTGTGTTTTGTGTGTGTGTGTGTGTGTGTGTGTGTGTGTGTGTGTGTGTGTGTGTGTGTGTGTGTGTGTGTGTGTGTTGTGTGTGTGTGTGGTGTGTGTGTGTGTGTGTGTGTGTGTGTGTGTGTTGTGTGTGTGTTGTGTGTGTGTGTGTGTGTGTGTGTGTGTGTGTGTGTGTGTGTGTGTGTGTGTGTGTGTGTGTGTGTGTGTGTGTGTGTGTGTGTGTGTGTGTGTGTGTGTGTGTGTGTGTGTGTATGTGTGTGTTGGTGTATTTGTGTATGTAGATATTTATGTATGTAGATATTATGTATGTAAGATATGTAGTATTTATGTATTTATGTATGTAGATATTTATATATATAATATATATATATGTATATATATATATATATATATATATATATGTATGTATATATATATATAGCATTATTATATATATATATATATATGTATATGGTATATATATTATATATGTATATAATATAGTATATATATGTATATATATATGTATATATATATGTATGTTATATATATATATATATATATATATATTATGTATATATATATATATATTATATATAATATATATATATATATATATATATATATAATATATATATATATATATAAGTATATATCATGATATATATATATTATAATATATGATATATATATATGTATATATATTATAGTATATATTATACTTTGGTCTATAAGATATATGGTAGATATATGAGTTATGATATATAATATATGTATATATATGATATATATATATGTGATTGCCTATTATAGACCCTGAGAATATATTATGCATATGAATATATTAGTTAATATAAAAGAAATGGGATGGAGTATAAATTAAGTCACCCTGAGAATTATATTTAAATAATTTTTTTAGTTATTTTAGAAGATATACTATAACAAGTATATGGTAGATATATATAAAGTATTAAAGAAATATAGAGTAGAGATAATATATTATTATATATATAATATATATATGTAAGCTATGATATTGAAAAAATATATACTATATATACAATAGGAATATATATAGGAATACTATATATATAAATAATATAGATTTATAATAGTATAATATACTATATATATACTATAATTATAGTGATTATAAAGTATATATATATAATGAGTCCCATATATATATGATATATAAATGCTAAATATAAATATAAATAAATTAAATGTTATAATTATATAGTATAATAATATATATATATATATATATATATATATATAAATATATAAGTATAGAGTATATATTTACGTATATATACGTAAGCAACATACATTATACATATACATATAATATAGTAATAGAGAATATGAGTATAATATAGATATAAATATCTATACGTATATATAATATATTAATAATATATCAGTTATATATAGTTCTAATAACAGTATAGTCAAAGGAATATACGAGATATATACCTATATATATATATATATATTAATTTAATATATAGATAATATATATAGGTTATATATCATATATATATATATATATACTATATATGTATAGAATATATGTATATATAAATATATGAATGTATAGTAAATAGATACTAGTATATAAATAGATATATAAGAGTATATAGTGAGTATAGTATATCCAACCTATATATTAAGATATGTATAAGATGTATACTGATACATAGAAATATATAACACTATAGATTTATAGATAATACTATAGATAGTATAGATATATAGTATGTATATATTAGTAACTATAAAATATAAATATATGAATATTATATATGAATATTATAAATATATATAATATATCTAGATTATGATATATATAATGACTCATTATTTATAAGAGCGATATAATAAATAATGATTATAAATAGAATAGAATAGTGATATATATTCCATTAACGTATATATATAAACTAGATAGTATATATATATTATTATTGAGCTATATGAATGAGTTAATGATAATAGTACTAGTATATATATATTAAATAATATGAATATAATATATATGTATACCAAATACAGTGAGTACCATATAGTTATCAGATATATATATCAATAAATAATGTATAGGTATAGCATAGTTAAATATAGCTATAAACACCGTGAGAACTAGATTATGAGTAATATGGTACCCAAGACCTATATAGTATATATTAGAGATATATGAACTATAGAGATAGATGACATAACCTTAATATTATAATAAATATAACTATTATATATGAAGTGGATGCGAACATGATCATATCCTATATAGATATAAGTATATATATACCGTAAGTGAGAGTAGAATATACCTTATAGTATAAATATATATCTATATATATACAAGTTAGCACTTATAAGTATACCTTATAATATGTGATATATATATAAAGGCGAGAATATATGTATTCCTAA